TGGGAAGAATTTCCTAATGTAGTGGGTGCAATAGACACCACACCACATGAGATCTATCGACCTCTAATTGAACCACAGCGGCCGTTCTATAGTGGCTATCGGCACTATCACTGTATGAATACTCAACTAGTGATGGACAATGAAGGACATATCCGCTTTGTTCAGGCTGGATTCCTAGGGAGCACGCACGATGCAGTTTCCTTTCGACTGATGGAACCTATTGGTCCGGGGCGCAACTTGGATCTACCACCCAATGCAAAGCTTCTAGCTGATAAGGCGTATCCAGATGGTGGGTCACTACTGACACCCGTGAGAGCTAACCAGATGCCTTTATTAAATAACAGGGACAGAAGGCGAGCGCGAAGGTTTAACACGCTCCTGTCTAAGAGGAGGGTAAAATAGAACACGTTTTCAAGGAAATGGAAACCTATAAAGCCATAGGCCAGATTTGGCGGCACCCACGCTGGCTCATGCCTGTGTGCGTGGAGTTGGTTGCTCTTTTGTCTGAAAGAAGGGTGAGACTCTTCGAAACAGTCTAGAAGATACGGCGAAAGGTAACCTCAACAGTTCTCCACAAATGCGCACACGTTCTATTTACGTACTGAGCTGTCTGTAGACGCAGAGTAATTTTGAATGCTGAAACGAAATTAGTTCTTGTTTGGGCACGTTTTTGCGTGTGCACTTAGTCATCCGAGTTATTTGTTCTTGCCATCGAATAACAGACATATTGCAGTTGTTGTAGTTAAGCTTTATGAACGTATCCAAGCGGCATCTGGATCGTGAACACAAATTGCATCTAGATCTGTTCAATGAAAAAGAGTTTAATAACATCGTGTTTATTTGCCTGTTGTAGGCGTACGTGCGGGAGTTTTATCTTTTTGCACACACTCATTAGCATTGAAGATTCTAATTAGCATATAAGAATCGGAGTTTGTGAAATCACTCTACTAAGTTCTGATTATTTTGCAGAAGGCGAACGACGGCGGCTACTTTTTCGCATTTTAATTTGGAATTGAACGGTGGCATCACATATTTTGAGACCGATAGGCGCACAGAACAGATCTAGGCAACTGCGAAATTTGAAGGTAAAACATAAATTCTTTTTTTTTCTACGCGATGTCCTTGGGGTCGCCGTTGTCATTGCTTAAGGCGCTCCCTATTGTTAGACCTGTTGAGTGCGTCAGTTCCTCGGCAGCATAAATAACCAATGAGTGGAATACGTCTTTGGAAAGAACAGCCTTAAATTGGGATATAAAAAGCGTAGGATACATTTGACGGTAGATTATTGCATGCTGCCCCTTTTTAATTTTAAATAAACCATCAAATCTTACGCATAACGAATTATCGTGAACTGTACATCATAAAAACTATAAAGGTGGTTGGCAACAGTTTCCAGCAGTTTTCCAACAGCTATACTTTGACGGAGAATGCTACCTCTGTTTGTCAAATGATGCTTTAATATTGGCATCACATGAATGCCCGATCACCAGTAAACAAGTTGTGGTCATCCTTTTTATATAACAGGTTACCATAGCAACAATACAACCCGCTAGAAACATCCTCAATTTTCGTTTTCAGTGCTTCTAACTCAAAACAAGCTCGGTGACCCTCATTTGTGATAAGCATGATAAGTTGTTACGTTTTGTAAAGTTAAAACAAAACTCTGTCTGTGGGGTTCAGGGACACATTATCTTGTCAAAAATTAACCATTCCAACAATTTTGTGGCGTGGGAGTGACAGGTGCACAGGACCAAAGCAGAGTAATCAACCTGGACGAAACCTTCTTGATATAACACCATATTCTCAAAACAAACGTTAAAACAAAAGTATGATTACTGATAAGAAAAAATAATATTTTAATCTTGGATTTTCTTTTTGACTTCAAGGTTGCGTGACAGAAAGCTGAAGAATCGAATTAGCAAGCTTCTTTATTCAAAAGTTACAATGTTCGTCTTTCTCTTGGTAAGAAACAAGTTATACAATCTCTTCATAATATTTGTATTTAATGCTTTCCTGAAGTAAAACAAAATAATATTCTATTTATACTTTCTCCACATATTTTGTCTGCTATACGCCAAACTAAGGCTTACTGTGTTTTGGTTTTTCTTCCATAGCTGATTCCAAGTCTGGCCGTAATTACGCCTTCAGCATTAAGCAAAGGTAATACTGAGCTTTGTGCGACAAATTATTTTAATTTCATGTGTTTCAAATAAGATGTAAGGTCCCGTGAAATTGCAGCATCTTTAATTTTAAAGTATTCATTTAATAAGTTAATCCGTGTTATCGTTTGAGCTAAATGAGCACACAATTAACAAATACNAGTTTCATTTTAGCCGCAAAATGTCCGTCGAGTTTAGCTCGGAGTTCCTTTTGTTAAAGTTTCGGCAATGTGAACATCATTCTGAACAATCCAAACCCTACTTCGAGCTTTCGACTTTTGCCAAGCTTAGATGTTTACTAAAACTTGAGTATTTTGACTTCGTTTGTCTGCGTTTTCATTGAGTATATTTTTGGCTTTGTTTGCCCACATTTTCACGTCAAATTAATTTGAAAATAAACTATTGTTTCATGCTCAGCATGCGTATATCGAGTTATGGATGCAGGCGGAAAGTTTGGAGAGCACGAAAGAAGCGTAAGAGTTGTTCGATATACGCACGCTAAGCATGAACCAATTCTTTCCTCTTTTTTTTGACCCTACCAAGTTACTGTATTGTAACAGGAAACACTAAAATCTGAATTTCTAGGTTGTATCTTCAGTGTTTTTTACTATTAACATGGAAAAGATATCGTATAGACGTAGCTCTTAAATTCCGATTGTTCACCTTATGCATTTAGAAAAACACATCACCTTGTACATTCAGAATAAAAGGCACAACACTTACAAGTTTCGTGGAAGACACAAGATAAAATTATAGAGTATCAACAGACCATGTAAAATAGATTAACAATTTCTAATTACAAAAATGGCGGCAATACAACGATAGAATGCATAACTACGTGAGAAATCTAACGAGATTTTTGAACTAAACATCTTTTAACCGTTGGTTCGAAGTGAACTTTTCCTGATGAATGTAAATAGATCATGGAGTTGAAAATTAGTGCTGACGTGATCTAAAATACTAAGGCAACTACGAGAACACGACGTGCGACAGATTTCCAAGTTTTTGTGCAAGTGTTCAAATATAACAGATCCCCTATAAGTGCTCAAATCCCCACGTAGGCGTGTGGGAAAATGTTGGGTTGTTTCTCAACCGCAACAGGAATTACGGGCTGCGCGCAACAATTTGTATACCAGAAAAAACGTAGTCCTCTAGAGGAAGGCTCTATCACACTAAACATACAGGGTATCTTGAATTAAGAGAATATTTACTAATTTAGTGGTTAGGTTATTACAGTAAGTGTTTAATGAAGTGTCGAGTCCATTCAATTTCTTTCTGTTTGCCACCGTCAGAAATTCGAGTTGGTGCATTATTGCCAATGACAGGCCGTTGGCCAATCGGAACACGAACAGCTGCAGCTGTACCCATGGCAACATCTGACGTCATGAACGATTTTACCCTGCTGTCAGGACACAACATAACGTACGAGATTTTTGACAGCTCGTGTGAACCTGAAAAAGGCCTTCAAGCAATGGTTGGTTTTAAAAACGTCGACATATTCATTGGGCCCGCGTGTTCCGTCGTCACTGAACCAGCGGCTTTGCTCGCAAAGATATGGAACAAGCCTATCATAACTTATGCGGCGTCTTCAAATGAATTCATCAACAAAAATGTTTACAGTACGCTTGGCACCATAACAGCGTATGCAAGACGCAACGAACGCTATACTCCAAAGTTTGTGCTCCAGATTTTGAAAGCGTTTAACTGGACAACGTTCGCTATTTTGAGCTCATCTGAAGTCGAATGGAAGACGATGGCTGGTAAAATACGAAGCGCAGTGGAATCTACATTGAAAGTTTCCTTGTTCGAGACTTACGATAACAAACTCCCGCAGTTTGAGAGAGTTTTGTCCAAGGGGAAGAATTTTACACGGGGTAAGTTCACTATTTACTGCCGCCAAATTCCATTTTCACTTAGAAGTATATATA